GTGGAGATGAGGGTGAGGGGCGGGGATGGGGGTGAGGAGTTTCCGGACATTCCGAAGGCCAGGGGACTATTTGACATTCTGATTGTTACTTAAGTGGTTCACAAAAGCTAAGATGAGCATTCGTTTACACATTGTCTGGGTAGGGTGGGGATCACAGTCCTTAATTACTTATTCACATCTGGGTTATAGAGAGCAGTTTCAACAGAAAGCCGAGGTATGGCTGAGGTATGCAGTTTTATTGGGCTTTACCATGTCACATAACTTCTGGGGGTAGATTTTTAAGTTTTTTGATTTTTTTTTTAAAAAAGCACAAGTGTATGAAATTGGGCAGTGCCTACAATTCAACAAAGCCATGGGGGCTAATGCAGCCCTGCGAAATTTGGTGTGGAAGTGAAGCTTTGCAAACCCAGGTTTATCTTGTGCACAAATCCTTCAATAGTCCAAAGAAAGGCATACATTTGGAGGAGGTGGGGAACTGCATTATTCATAATTAACTAGAGCTGCTTCTTCACTTTGAAGTATGTTCCCTTTTGGCTCTTTGAAAGTTTCTCTGCATTAACAATTTGTATAGTTTTAGTTACTGGTGAACAAGAACTGTTTCAGTGAGTTCTGATTAGCATATGAATACTACACTAGGTCCTGAGGGAATGCAAAGCAGGCACATTTGCAATTGAATATGCACTTAACATTTGGGCTGGAGTATAAAATCTTAATCAATTTTCACATCTATGGCATACTCTGCTGGAACACTTGCCCAGATGTGAGTCCCTTGAGATGTAATATCTTGTTCTTAAGAGTTTTATGCAACGTTCATTGAAGGGATGGGACTAGTGAGGAGCAAACTGGCAGGTGAAATACAGTTATGCCTTGCTTAATGGGATACATCCTGAGCAATGCATCATTCAGCAATTTTATCAGTTTGGCTAGATGGTATATAGCCTATTACACACCTAGGCTATATGGTATATCCTTTTGCTTCTGGGCCACAAACCTGTATCGCATGTTACTGCATTGAATACTGCAGGCAACTGGAACACAATCATAAGTATTTGTGTAGCTAAAATTATCTACACATATGTTAAACATAGTGAACTCCAAGTTTCTCTTCAAATAATCAGTATGTCAGTATGTTCAGCTCTGTCATTCTTCCTTCTCCATTTTAAAGTTTAACTTCCTGGTTCTTTTTGTCTCCTTGCCTCTAGTATCAGTAGGAACAACTTTCCTACCAGATGTAATCAGTAGTTCACATCTGTTCTGCTGGTTACCTGCCTTGACCTGAGTAACCTTTAGTTACCTGGTCCATAACTGTCTTTCCTGGTCACCTGCTCTGACCTGAGTCACCTTTAGTTACCTGGTCCATAACTGTCTTTCCTGACAAACTGCTCACCCCGCCACTCTGGCTCATACCTCTGGCTCCCTTTAAAACAGCCAACCAGAATTACCTTAGACTGTGCAGTCCAACCCTAGCCAATAGGGGAACAACACAGCAGTAGGGGACACCTGCATCAGGGATAAGAAACTTTCCCCCTCCCCTGTTGAGGTGTGCACCATTGTTCCATCCATGAGACACATCCTTCTGTAGAAGTAAATTGCCTTGCTGAGAAAATTCTTTGAGCACTAGTTCTTTTCAGCACCGAGGAACAAGCATTTGTTTCTAACAACATAGAAAAGGTACAGTAAAATATGGCATAAAAGATTAATAGTAGAGACAGGGTTTCACCATGTTGACCAGGATGGTCTCGATCTCTTGACCTCGTGATCCACACGCCTCGGCCTCCCAGAGTTCTGGGATTACAGGTGTGAGCCACTGCACCTAGCCCGTACTGTCATTTTTAAGAGAGAAAACCAAACTCTAATTTTGCATCAGTGCACTGTTGACATTAAGGCTCATTCCAATACCTTATAAGTAAATCCACTTCATCGTGATCAGCTTGACCACATGAGGTAAGATTCTCTTTCTCTTTTCCACAGACCTTTTACAGCTTATATCCATTCAATTGTACACTTTTCTCTTGCTTCTTCTAGAAAAATCTTTGAATAATCACTATTACAACCACTTTAGGAAAAAATACTCTTTTTTCCTTAACAAAAACCCATCTTACATTCCTTGTATCCTCTGCATAACATACAAAGTTGTTTTTTGTTCATTTGTTTTATTTGAGATGGAGTTTCCCTCTCATTGCCCAAGCTGGAGTGCAATGGCATGATCTCAGCTCACGGCAACCTCTGCCTCCTAAGTAGCTGGGAGTATAGGCATGTGCCATGATGCCTGGCTAATTTTTGTATTTTTAGTAGAGACAGGGTTTCACCATGTTGGCCAGACATGTTGGCCAGGCTGGTCTTGAACTCTTGACCTCAGGTGATCTGTCCACCTAGTACTCCCAAAGTGCTGGGATTGCAGGTGTGAACCACTGGGCCCTCTCTCAAATTTGTTTCTTTTCACCCTTATTTCTAGTAGTTTCATTTACATATAATTTTTATCTATTTGTAACCTTTATTTTGTAGAGAAATTTAGAAAGTAGACAGCTGTGAATTGTCATATGCCGGCATTTTGTAGCAGATTAGCACGTTTTATGAATATATCATCTCATAATTTCTAGAGGTATATGCTTTTTATAGTAAGAAGAAAAAAAACTTCCAAGGTGGTAAAATATTAAAGACATATTTATAAAGAAACCAAGGCCAGGCATGGTGGCTCACGCCTGTAATCCCAGCATTTTGGGAGGCTGAGGTGGATGGATCACCTGAGGTCAGAAGTTCAATACCAGCCTGGCCAACATGATGAAGATGAAACCCCATCTCTACTAAAAATACAAAAATTAGCCAGGCATGGGGGCACGTGCCTATACTCCCAGTTTCTTGGGAGGCTGAGGCAGGAGAATTACTTGAACCCTGGAGGCTAATGTGGCAGGGAGTCAAGATCAGGACACTGCATTCCAGCCTGCGCGATAGAGCAAAACTGTGCTGGGATTACAAGCGTGAGCTGCGGAGCCTGGCCTGACTAATGTGCTCTTTACTTCTGCTGATTGTCCTCTGTGTCCTTTTGCTGTCATGAACTACAGCTATGTGTAGAATAGCTTTTCTGAATTCTGAAAGTTTTTATGAAGTGTCCCTGAATCTGAAGGTATTCTTGGGGACCCCCACCACTGATCCCTCTGCCCACTGTACTGTACACCCCAATTATCTTAAAGAGAGTGGGTGTCCAGACCCGCTCTCCACTCACAGGAGCTGGACCTCGGATCATCCCAAGCCACTCCTGGCTTATGGTCGCAGAGCACATGTTCCAAAACCCACGACAGTGAGGACTGTATTTGGGGCAGAGTAAGAAGAAATGGATCAGGGAAACATACAAAAGATCTAAAGACAATAAGTAAAGGCTTAATTCTTGTTTTGAACATAATTTGTCAAAGTGTTTGTGTTTCTGTGGTTTTGTTACAGCAATCTCCATAATTGGGTAACTCAAAATTATGTTCCTAATTTAAAAAATGTCATTTGTATTTTCATTATACTTTTTAGTTTTGTGAATTTTAAAGCTCTATCCCGGGTTGATAAAAGTAGAAAATGCAGGGTGTGGGGAAATTACGAGAACAAAGGACAGTCTGAAATAATCCTTAGGAAACGATCTGAATTCCTGGGAGAATTTCAGACTTTACAAGGCTATGACATGAGTGGGCTCAGGCCCAGATCTCTAAGGGGACAATGAGAACAAGGTGACACCAGTGTCCCAGGGGACAGAATAGAAAATGGACCCAGGCCTGTCTCTGACAGGGTGAGCTGCTGGAGTAGAATCTGGTAGACCCAGTGGGGTGGAGGGACCCGGGGCTGGAGCTGAGGGAGAAACTGTGCTTCAGCCTCCTCCTCCCACTGCCCCTACCCTGCACCCAGGAGCCCTTTGTGAGGAGGAGGCCCCAGCTATGTGATGCAGGCCTGGGCCCCAGTCCCTAGTCCCAAAGGAGATGCCCAAGGCTGTTACTTGATGAGACATTGCACTTCAGATGGAAAAAATGCTCTTTCGTCTGAAGAGCCCTAGTGCCACGTGGCTAAGCCCCAGCTCCATTCCCCGGGTGATGGATCTTATCCTCACTGGGGTGTGGGCCTATTACTCCCCCACCTCCCCAGTGACCCACCCCCACCCCTACCCTACAGAGAAAGACTGTTTTCCTCCCCTGGTTTCCACTTTTCCTAAGCAACAAGAGACGTTCCTGTGATGAGAAATCTCATGATCCCTCAGGGCAGGGCAGGGCAGGTGGGGTGAGTGTACAGAAGATTCCATGCCCAGCTCCCAAACCACCTGTGGAGTGGGCAGGAGGCTTCAGGGCACAAAGCAACACCGCGCTTAGTGGCGAGGACAGGCTCAGGAGAGGGCCAGGGCTCTGTGGGAGATAGGCCCCGGCCCTGGCTCATCAGCTCTTCCCGGGGCAGGTGCTGGGGCCCAGTTTCCTCTGTGTGGGGTGATCTGGAGCTGTGTGGAGACCCTGCCTGTCAGGAAGAGAAGTGGTAAGGGGTGGCAGCCAGTCAAGCCAGGGCACGTATCCTTTCCAGAAATCTGCCTGGAGAGGCCAGGACCACAACGGAGAAGACGGGCCTGGCTCCAGGCTGCAGAGAGGTGCTGAGGCCCTAGGGGAGCCTGGCAGGATCTCGCTAGTCCTGAGCTCTGCTTCCAGCAGGGTCTGGCCCTGTAACCCAGGGGACAAGGCCAGCCAAGACATGGCCACTGGGTGCCAGCCAGCGCCTGGGCCAGGCACCAGGTGGGAAGGGCTCTGGCAGATCAGCCACGCATGCCCCACAGCCCCATGGTGGGGCCCATCCAGGGCCACACCCCTGCCCCCAGGAGCAGGACATCCATGAGGCTAGAGTCCAGCTAGATGGGTGGGGAGCCTCACCCTGTGCCCTTTGACTCAACTTGCTGGGTTCCTGTGCACTGCCCCACACCCTGCTCTGTCACCAGCCCCACTGTGATGTCATAAGAGCCCAGCCACCCAGTGCTAGTCTGGCCACAGACTGGCAGGTGTACACTCAGGTTGTAGACTCACGAGTATACTCTCCGTTACTGACGTTTACCTTTTGTCTGTGGGAATTTCCCACAATATGGGAAAACGCAGGAGCTTTTTTTACCGGCTCCACCGCAGGCCCCGGCAGCAGTGGCAACCCCAATGGTCTCCTCTTGTTCCTTCGAACTTTTCGGCTGGCCGGGTTCACCCTGCAGCTCCTGCGTGTGTGCCTCAACTGGGAACCCGATACCCTGCTCGATTTTTGAGTCACCACCGAGGTCTTCAGCCCCGTTTTGCATCCGGAAGGAATTTCACCCCAACCTCAAGCGCCCTACGGCGGGCCCTGCCTCCTCCGGTGTGGAGGTCCCCCTCAAGGAAGAGTCGTGCTGTCTGCAAGGCACTTGGCACACAGAAGCCCCATGAGGCTGCCTTCGCTACAAATGCTGGCCCCGATGGAGGTGACAGCAGAAGAGCCGGAAGAACCAATGGAGGCGACAGCAGAAGAGCCGGAAGAACCAATGGAAGAACCAATAGACGATGAGGTAGAGACCCAGGGGCAGGAGGAGGAGAAAGGGGGCCCCTGTAGCAATGAACCAACAGCATCTACCTCGAGGCCCCTGGAGACTCAGGGAAACCTCGCTTCCCTCGACTGCAGGCCCAGGGCCTTAAAGGGAAGTGTCCAATCCAAGGCCCATGGAGTGCCCAGCGCACACAGCCCTGCAGGAGGCGTCCTTCCCTTTGGGAAGCCTGACCCAGCTCCAGCAGTGCTCCCTGGCCCAGCTCCTGCCTGCTCCCATTGGCCAGAGAAGGCGGCCTCTCAGGTGCTGGAGAAGGAGCAGCTACCCAGCTCCTCAGGCTTGCAGATCCCGGGGAAGGAGACCCAGTGCAAGGATCCTGCGGCTCCAGTAGTAGGCAGCTCCCCTCCACCGAGAGCTGCCAGCCAAGCAAAACGGTCAGGGCAACCCCAGCAGCTGCCACTGGTCCCTGCCGAGCAATGGAGGTGGGGCAGAGACGAGGGGCCCTCACCCGCTAAACATCCCTGCCTATCCTTGGAAGGATTCACAAACAACATGGGGGCGATAGGTAGCAATGCATGGCTGAGGAGACTGAAAAAGCGACGTGGGAGGATAAACAAGGTATAGTAAACAGCAGTGCCAGCCGGCCCATCTCCCCACCTCCCCACCTCCCCCACCTCCCTGCCCCAGGCCACCTACATGTCACAGGTCCCAGCTCCTCCTCCTACCTCTGACTTGGCCCACGCGGCTGCTGGGCCCCTCATCCTGCCCGTCCCCACCAGCTTCCCCGGCTCCTCTGGCCTCCATGCTGTCACCAGGCCCAACGACCTCCTCAGAGCCTTTTGGATCACACTCAACCCTGAGTACCGCCAGGCCACCGGAGCCCTTGCCTCCCCTAAAACGCCGTGCACCCTGGACACATGCTCTTGTTCTTCCTTCACCACAGCCCCATGGGCTCGCGGCGTCCTCTCCATCCCCACGTGCCTCCAGCCTGGTTGGAATTCCGTGTGGCTTCACAACACGCCCCGGCCCCCACAGCTCCCCTCCACACCAGCAGCGGCCGCCGGCTCCAACCACGGTGATCTCTGGCCTTGGGTGCTCCGGCGAGCCCACTGGGGACCGCTCCTGGGGGAAGGAGGCTGCCACCACGTGGGGCCTCTCCACCTGCTCACATGGCTAATTCCAGCAACAGCATCTTCCCGACCAACCCCCAGAGCCTTCCTTCCGGGGAGACCCCACACCCCAGAAGACGGAGGCAGGTGAGTGCACATTCATCCACCCTGACGTGCAGAAGCTGCTGGAGACTCTCATCACCAAGAAGGCAGTGATGAAGCTGCAACAGAAGAAAGAAGGGACAGGGGGGTGGACTGCCCGCAGATGACACCACTGCGGAAGGAGTGGGACGCCATTACTCCACAACCCTTCTGGAACCAGAGAGCCCAACCACCGCAGTCGCCCAGTCCGCAGCAAATCTCTGATGCCACGGTCCTCAGTTCCTCAGGCCATGCCCTTCCCTCGCTGTCAAGGGAATCCTCTATACAGGGTCTAGGTTGGCCTCACGGGGCTCCTGTGGGCCTTGCACTGGAGCACATGGAATGGGAAGGATCTCGGCTTGCACACAGCTTCCTCAGAAAACCTTCTCCCACTCCCCTGTGAGGTCAGGCCCCCTGTGCTGGATTCCCCACCCTGGCCTCTGCACCCTGGGCATCGTTCTCCCAGAACCCTGAAAGCTTCTTGTGGGTCCAGTGAGGAGGAAAGCATGTCTGACCACACTCTCAGAACTTACTGTGGCCCTGTTATAAATTGTTTCATAAAATGTTAGTGAATGAACACAGGAATCAATGCTTCCTAATGTACCTCATACACAAGTTGCACCACTAAAATCATCCTTTCATAAAGGATCATACTCTTTTCAGTAGCCAATATAATGTTTCAAGGAAAATCTGTAAAAACAAAATGGCATTGATGCTTCAAATTTAGCATATAAAGAAATTTCCAAATTCAAATGATTCCATCTAAGTTACTTATTTTATAAGTCAGATATGAATATTCTTGTAGTTTTTTTTAATCCTTCAAAGTAAAAATTTTGGTGTTTAGAGAATACAAACTGAAAAGCAATTTTGCTTCAAAACATTCTTTCTAATGTGCCACAAATTTATTTTTAAAAACGATTACCAAAGATGTATTTTTAAGTAATTTAAATACACGACTTGCAACAAATACATATATTGTAAATCCACTCTTCCAAAAATGAGGAGCAGCTATGTTTACTTTCACATCTAAAATGTTAAAATATCTATACAACACATTGCTTATTTAAAACCAAATGTAAAATATGGTATTGATAAATTCAGCATGTATATTCGTTGTTTGAAAATTTTTTTAATTATTGAAAATAGTTAAATATCTTTTAAAAATCTTGTTTGAAAGATGTTAGAAAAGAGAAGGTAGAAAAGTAGGACTGCGTTCTTATCACCTAGCAGTTTAACCTCAGTTATAACTACACACACATAATATATATCTGTGTGTGCATATGTGTGCATAAGTGTGTATAAACATACATACATATGTGTGTTGTAACGACATTCCATTAGCATCACCCATTCTGTTTTTTGCTGGCATACACTGTTTTTATTATTCTAGAAAGCAAGGCACATCACAGTCTCTAGACTTGAGCCTAAGTAACTGTTCTCTCTCCAGCCAGTTCTTGGGTTTGGAAATTCCCTCCTTGCTCACCCCTTATGGGCAGTGTGTCCACCTCACCCAAGGCCCTCTGATTCTGAGGGAATGCATTCTCTTCCTGGATCCACAAGGAAGCGTAATATCAAAGGCAAAAACTTCCCAGTCCCATAACCTTCCCCCTCCCCCTTTCTCCATCCAGGGATTAGAGGTCTTTAAATTTTCCGCACACACCTGGGAAAGGACCAAAGGTCAATCACTCCAGCCTAAGTTGAAAGGAACTCTTCTCCTTGGCCAGGGGGCTTGGAGAAGGTGGGAATTCCTCCCAGGTCAAAAGTCCCCTTCTTCCTCACCTCCTTGGATTCCATCTTTGGGTCCCCTTCCACCATCCTTGTGGAAGTTTTCTGTCAGGGATGTCCCCCTCTGGGGTCCCTTCCATGCAGTGTGGAAGCTGCTTTCCTCTCCGGGATTCCATACCACGAGGACTGTGGATTTCCCCTTCCACAGTCCTCGTGGAAGCTTTCTCTCTCTCTCTCATCTTTCTTTTTTCTCTGTCTAAATAAATCACTTTCTGCAAAAACTCTTTGGAGTTCGATACTTGCTTGTGAGTGCACCGCACCATGGTCCCCTCTCCCATTCTTGGGTGAGTGAGAGACCAAGAGCCTGGAAAAAATCCTCTCAGGGGAGCTTAGTGGTCCCCTGCACCCCAGAACCTGGAAACCATTAGTGGCAAACCAGCCAGGAGGAGGCAGTCAGGAGCCAAGAAAGCATGTCAGAATGGTGAGTTATATCCGACACCCTTTCACTTGAATTGTCTATCACTTTAAGAACACCTGAGTGGAGATGAGAAATCCAAACTAATGGGGAAGGGGAGGCCCCACTGAGAAGCATCCCAGCAACCCGACCACAGCTGGGTTTCCCTGGACACCATGAACCACTCTGTCCAAACCTCCTTCACTCCTGCCAAATCCTCCGTCCGACCGACTGAGATGCCGAAGGAGGAGCAAGAGGTGGCTGCACCAGGGGTGCCCCACAACCCTGTACCCCCAACATTCACGGTGATCCGCATCCACACCAAGACCTCCGTGCGTGATCACATCGTCTGGTCCCTGTTCAATACCCTCTTCATGAACTCCCGCTGCCTGGGCTTCACAGCAAAAAAAAACAGCGGTTGGCCGGGTGCAGTGGCTCACGCCTGTAACCCCAGCACTTTGGGAGACTAAGGCGGATGGATCACGAGGTCAGGATATCAAGACCATCCTGGCCAACATGGTGAAACCCCGTCTCTACTAAAAATATAAAAAACTAGCTGGGTGTGGTGGCGCACACCTGTAATCCCAGCTACTGGGGAGGGTGAGGCAGGACAATCGCTTTAACATGGGAGGTGGAGATTGCAGTGAGCTGAGACTGCACCACTGCACTTCAGCCTGGTGACAGATCAAGACTTGGTCTCAAGAAAAAAAAACAAAACAAAACAGCGGTTGAAGGAAGAAACAGCCACTGGCAGCTCCCACTCGGACGGACAGAGCAGCATGTGGAGTCTCGCATCATGAACTTTTGCTACAGAACGACTGCAGGAATAAACCAGGAATGCCAGGAGAACGCACAGACCCTCTGAAGGAAGCAGATTGCTCCTGCAGGATGCAAGAGACACCCCAAATACTGTAAGTGCCTAAACTGTGGAAATAGGAAAGGGGGGATTGTTCACCCCTGAACACACACATTCACTGGGAAACCTGAGGGTCTAGATCATGGGAGAAGATTTTGATCTTACCAGGAGCTGAGTTAATTTAGAGACCCAAGCAAAACACAGGGGTGGAGGAAGCTGTGGGAAAGACTCCATGGGCTCTCTGGATCCCCTAGGAAGCCATTTCTGCCTTGCCTCACAGGGGTCCTTGGGGAGGGCTGCCAGAAGTACTGGGAAAAGACAATGGGGAGAAGTAAACCACTAGCTGAACTATGTAACAATTCCAAACCAAGTAAGTCTCCTGGCCAGAACTCGGGGGAGGGCATGAATCTGCTGTGTAGACTCCACAGACAGGGAAGCATGAAAGCCCTACTTGCTTTCACAGTTGGGAGGCTACTAGCCTGGGGCCGGTTCTCAGCCCTGCTCACCCACTGCCTAGAAACAGACTGGGTGCTGTTTGGAGGGTATGTGGGAGTGAGACCAGCCTTTTGGGTTGCGTGTGAGCTGGGTGAGGCCTGCAACTCCTGGCTTTTCCTCACTTCCCTGACAACCTGCATGACACAACAGAGGTAGCCACAATCATCCTGGGACTATAACTCCATTGACCTGGGAAACACACCCCCAGCTCCCACAGCAGCTGCAGCAAGACTCGCCCAAAGAGAGCCTAAGCTCAGACATGCCTAGTCCTGTCCCCACCTGGTGGTCCTTCCCTTGCCACCCTTCAGTTACTGCTGAAGAAAAAGGGCATATACTCTTGGGAGTTCTGGGATCCCACCCACCACCTGATTCTCCACGTAGAACCACAGCTGATGCTCTCTTGAAAGTACCACCTCCCAGCAGGAGGCCGACCAATATAAAAACAGTGCATTGAACAAACAAAACTACGGACCTCATAGAATTCCTCTTACCCACCAGCCATGAGAGACCCACAGATGGTTCCTATCACAGGACTCTGTGCAGACAACCCCCAGTACTAGCCCAGAGCCTATAGACCTGCTAGGTGGCCAGATCCAGAAGAAAGATAGCCATTACTACAGCTCAGCTTTCAGGAAGCCACATCCCTAAGAAAAGTGGGAGAGAACTACATTAAGGGAACATCCAGTGGGACAAAAGAATCTGAACAACAGCCTTGAGCCCTATACTTTCCCTCTGATAGAACCTACCCAAATGAGAAGGAAACAGAAAACCAACTCTGGAAATATGACAAAATGAGGTTCTTTAACAGCCCCCCAAAATCATACTAGCTCACCAGCAATGAATCCAAACCAAGAAAGAAATCCCTAATTTACCTGAAAAAGAATTCAGAAGGTCAGTTATTAAACTAATCAAGAAGGTACCAGAAGGAGGCAAAGCCCAATTTAAGGGAAAAAAAAAAAAAAAAAATACAAGAAATGGGAACACAGCAGCATTAGGGTTTGGCTCATCCCAATTCACAGATGTTGCTGCCTACCTGGTCTCTCTCTGCTGCTATTTGCCACAATTTCTCCTGACACCAGGCTGAGTGACTTTGTTTCCAGATGGAAAGAGAGGAAGGAGGCCCCTGGACTACACACACATTCCAGGAAATGGAGGCAATAGTAACACCACACCAGGACTCACGGGCTGGGCTGGCAATGCCTGCTGTTGAACTCCTTAGACACACACACATTCTTCAGCAGCTACTCCATGTATACTACACCTGCAGAATGCATCGCCGACACATCTCAGTTTTATGGGCTGGTAGTATTGTAGTACTAGGGACCGCTTCTTCAGTATTTCAATTCTGGTGGTCAGGATGCGTGGAGAGGTCATGGCAAGCACTCAAGTCCGAGCGCTGTGACCGTCAAGCCACAGTTGGTCCTTTATACACCTTTATACAGAGGCAGCTTAGTCACTTAAAAAAGGGATCAGAAACTTCTTTCTTTTTTTGTTTTTTGCTTTTTTGTTGTGTTTTTTTTTTTTGAGTCAAGGTATTACTCTGTTACCCATGCTGGGTGGGTGACACAATCACAATTCGCAGCAGCCTCAACCTCCCAGGCTCAAGCAATCTTCCTGCTTCAGCCTCCTGAGTAGCTGAGACCACAGGTGGATGTCACATGCCTGGCTAATTTTTTTATTTTTATTTTTAGCAGAGACTGTGTTTCACCATGTTGGCCAAGCTGGTCTGGAACTCCTGACCTCAAGGGATCTGCCCGCCTTTGCCTCCCAAAGTGCTGAATTACAGGTGTGAAGGTGTGAGCCACCATGGCCAGCCAAGATTTATTTATGAGGATTGTTTTTCTCTGTTATAAGAGCCTACCCCCACCTCCCTGCCAAGAACTATTGTTTCACCTTTTCTCTCGCTGGGAGTATCTTGGAACACAGAGGAGATCTGGGCTGCAGTAACTTGAGATGTGTGTGTCTGGGGCTTTGCGCAAGAATTTCTCATGATGTGGGTTGGAGCTTTGCATCTGCTTGCTGCACAGCAGAGCAACTCTCCTGGCAGAGGATGGGCAAATGTGTCTCATCTTTTCCCTTGTGATGTCAACAAGTCCCGACTTAAGGTGCATGTAAACCGTTCTATTTGTGCTCTGGAATACTGCATTTCCAAAAATGAGCTTGTGGAAGCTTGAATGTAATGATTCATTCAAGACTTTTAAGAATGTTCTTAAAAGTAGAGTAGTCCAAGAGGAATGTTCCTCCTGTTGATCAGAAGGAACAGAGCTTATAATTTTTATATTACAGCCAGATGTGACCTGGGGCCTGTACATTACGGCAGGTTTAAGGAACAAAAGGAAATGCAATGTTTTTTGAAATTGCTTGCCACTTGCATTAAATTAAATACACTTCCGGCATTGGGAAGGATGGCGATTGTTGGTTCAACTTGGCTGGAGAGACCATGGTCAATTTCATCTCCTAATAGAATTGGCTTTTGTTTGAGTTGAGAGCAGAGAACATACCAAACAACATCCTTAATTTCCAGATGAGACAATAAAGGCTTCGAGGGGTAAAGTGCCCTTCCCAAGGTCACACAGAACAGAGATCAGAACGCAATCTTCTGGCACCAAGACCAGGGCCATGTCCACTTCAGCATCCCCTCTCTCCATATGCGTGTTTTCTTTAGTGCCAAGAATAAAATTGATATCCAAGGAGAGGTCACCCTTGATTCAGGTTTGCCTGCATGTAAGTACCTCCTTCTCCATCTCCCAGATGGGAAGAGGTGCTTGGATGGAAGAAGGTGGCACTCTGTGGTGCTTTGGCGGTGTCTCTCTCTGGGTCCCCTTGCTCTCCTGACTCTCCCGGTCGCTCTTGTATGGATTCATGTGTTGCTTTCTGATCTCACTCACAGGATCCTGATTTTCTCCATACTCGTCTTATTTTCTATTCCTTTGGGTGGTTTCGTACTTCCCAAGATCTCGTCACCTACTACCTTAATTCATTTTGCATGGCTGTAAAGAAATACCGAGGCTGGGCAATTTATAAAGAAAAGAGGCAGTATATGGACAATATAGTGAAAGCTTGTCTCTGCAAAAATAAAAATAGCCAGGCATTTATAAAAAGGCAATATATGGACAATATAGTGAAAGCTCATCTCCATAAAAATAAAAATAGCCCAGGCATAATGGTGCACACCGGTAATCCCAGCTACTCGGGTGTGGGAGGCAGAAGTTGAATTGAGCTGTGATCCCACCACTACACTCCAACACTCCAGCCTTGGCAATAGAGTGAGAGTCTGTCTCAAAACTAGATACATTTTAAAAAATAATAAAAGAGGTTGATCTGTGTCATGCTTCTGTAGGCTGTGCAAGAGGTGAGGCTTCAAAAAGCTTCTAATCTTGGCAGAAGGAGGAGGAGGAGCAGGCATGGCACATGGTAGGAAAGACAGCGAGAGAGGGGAGCAGGAAGAAAAGGTGCCAGGTTCCACCCTACAGTGAGTTCTCACAGGGACTCACAGAGCGAGAGCTCACTCTTTATCTCAAGGATGTCACTAAGCCATGCATGAGGGATCTGCACCCATGACCCAAACACCCCCCAGGAGGCCACATCTCCAACACTGGGGATCACATTTCAACATGAGATTTGGAGGAGACAAACATTCAAACTTTATCATCTACTTACACCCTAATGATGCCCAAACTAATATCTCCAATTAAAGCTTCTTTTCTGGGCTTCAGAAGCCTGTGGAGCATCCAAGTCTGTTCTCCAGTATGTGGGGGACAGAGCTGCGTCTACATCACTTCCCTTTACATAATCCTTTTCTGGCTCTCTAACACCTGCAGGAGCATCTGATCTGGCACACAAGGGCTTCCATGACCAGGCATCAGCCTAATTTTCTAGCATTACCTCTTTACAGTCCTTGCCTCTCACTATGTCCCATAGTAACACCTGATAGCCATCATCCTCCTCTATCCCTGTATGCTACACCTGGTATACCTTGGAATTCTCAACTCTCTGCACTGATTATGTTGAGATATAGACATCACTACTATCCATGACTTTTTTTTTTTTTTTTTTTAAGATGGAATCTTGCTCTGTCACCCAGGCTGGAGTGCAGTGGCATGATCTTGGCTCACAGCAACATCTGCCTCCCAGGTTCAAGTGATTCTCCTGCTTCAGCCTCCCGAGTAGCTGAGATTAGAGGTGCCCACCACCACACCTGGCTAATTTTTGTATTTTTAGTAGAGATGGGATTTTACTGTGTTGGCTAGGCTGATCTCAAACTCCTGACCTTAGGTGATCCACTTGCCTCCGCCTCCCAAAGTGCTGGGATTTACAGGAGTGAGCCACCATGCCCAGCTCATAACATTTTTTTAAGAAAAAGTATTCTCGTAAGGAAAAGCATGTTCCTTTTTATGGGATTCCCCATGTGTGTTCCTACAGAATGTCATGTACCAGAATCTTGGAGCAGGACAATGTGGAGTTTGAGCCCCGCCTCCATCACCTCGTTTGTCACACCCTCCATTGGGAGGGGATTTTTCTCTGTCACTGAAAATAGCTGCTTAGGGCAGATATGACCCCCACCCTTCCCCCGTGTGGAACAGAGGCATTTCACTGTTCCCAGTGGATTTCTGCTCTTATAGACAAAATCATCTCTCTCTGTCGCCACTGAGACATGTTCGTTTTGAAGGCTGGAGGTTTCCCTTGCTTAATCGATGAGGAACTAATAAATCATGCCCTGTTCCTTGGAGGACAGTCCTCTTAACGGCAGGATTCTGATATCACTTTTGCACACATATTAAATTGCAGCCCACAAGCCAGATCTTCCACTCTTTGCAAACTTAAATGGAAAGCCAGAGAGGCAGGCGGCAGTAACAGGTAAATGATGAACAAGAGTCATTGTGTGCCTGGAGTTATTAAATGTTTTTCTGGGGCAGTCTCAGAAAAATGCTCCTGGGCCTTATCTTAGAACAGTAAATTTTGAATCAGAAGGGACCTTAAAGGTTATCAGAATTTAGAGGTAATCTGCCACCCAGGGTAGAAATCCCATCTGTAGGGACTGTGATAAATGGTTGTATCCAGCCATAAAAATAAGTAAATAAATAAATAAAATTTCTAGTGACTTGGAGCTCACTGCAGCTCGAGGCAACCATTCATTGTTAGCAAATAGAAAGCTTCTGTTAGCAAGTAATCACTTCATAGTTGACTCAAAATATAATCTGTTTCTAGAATAAACTGGATGGGACTCAAAATAAATTCTCACCATACTCATTTCTTGTGACTATACACAGACAAAGCTAGATAATTCTATTGGAAAGACTGTGGAAATAGAGGGGCTCTGAATCAAGTGTTCAGATGCTCTGGATTTGGCATGCACCAATGGCAAACATTTGTTCCATTATGAGACTAAATGCCACAGCTGTGATGCCCAGTCACTGTGGCGGGAGGCCATCCAGGAGGGTGGTGACTCCCACTACAGTTGATAGAAATGGCAGATTGAAAAAAAGAAGCACAATGTCAAAAAAAGGTAAAACCCTGAAGTGAGCTTCTTCTATAAATCACCACAGCACTTATACTTGATTCATGTATAATTGTAGGACATATTTATTCATTGGTTCTTGATGTGTGGATGAATTCTCAGATCTCTCATGAAGACTCTGAAATCTGCCCAGACATCTGGGTTCTACATATTGGAAGCAAATCACTGTGTTTGATTTTTTTGGTTTAAAAATTGGGTGATTTGTCCCTGGGGATATTTACTTGTTGTGAATAACCAATATAGACTCAAAAATGTAAATCTCATAATTTTTGCATTATAAAATATATTTTTTAATCATTTACAATTTTTCAGCCATTAAAAATGGAAAAAAACAAAACTACTCTTAATTCAAAGGCCATATAAAAACAGGCAGCTGAAATCAAATTAGAACTCAGGATTAAGAACCTCACTCAAAACCACACAACTACATGGAAACTCAACAACCTGCTCCTGAATGACTACTGAATAAATAACGAAATTAAGGCAGAAATAAATAAGTTATTTGAAACCATGAGAACAAAGACACAAGGTAACAGAACCTCTGGAACACAGGTGGGGCAGTGTTTAGATTAGAGGGAAATTTATAGCAGTAAATATCCACAGGAGAAAGCAAGAAAGATCTAAAATCAACACCCTAACATCACAATTAAAAGAACTAGAGAAGCAAGAGCAAACAAATTAAAAAACTAGCAGAAGGCAAGAAGTAACTAACATTAGAGCAGAAGTGAAGGAAATAGAGACACAAAAAACGCTACAAAAATCAGTAAGTCCAGGAACTGGTTTTTTGAAAAGATCAACAATATATACCGCTACCGCTAGCCAGACAATAAAGAAGAGATAGGAGAATCAGACGCAATAAAAACTGATAAAGGGGAGGTCACCACTGATCCCACAGAAATACAAACTACCATCAGAGAATACTATAAACACCTCTATGCAAATAAACTAGAAAATCTAGAAGAAATAGATAAATTCCTGGATACATACAGTCTCCCAAGAGTAAGCCAGGAAAAAGTTGAATCCCTGAATAGACCAATAATAAGTTCTGAAATTCTGGCAGTAATTAGTAGCTTACTAAACAAACAACGCCCAAGACCAGACGAATTCACAGCCAAATTCTTCCAGATGTACGAAGAGGAGCTGGTACCATTCCTTCTGAAACTATTCCAAACAGTAGAAAAAGAGGGACTCTCCCTAACTCATTTTATCATCCTTCCCGTCCCTATTCCCCACTCCCAAACACGTCTTCGCGCTCTCTTTTCAAAGAGCCAGAAACTTTAAAAACTTGGATCGGCACAGCCCGGCAGTTCGCCGATGGGCGCTGCGCGCCGCCCTTTCCACGCGATGGGAACAGACCCCGAGAACAAGTTAACAATGAAATCACCTGAAGGAGTTCAGAGCGGTACGTCGTCCCAGCCCAGCTCCGCACTCAAAGCTCCGGGGGCCGGCTCGAGGGCGGCGCGTGGTGCCGGGAGCCTGACAATCGCGCACCGGGCCAGAAGGCGAGGTCGACAGGCGCCCGGCCTTCCCCCGGCGGCGGGGCTGACAGCCGGGCAGACACAACATCACACGTGCTGCGCCTCGCACCACAACACCCGCCGGCCTGTCAGCCCCGCTAGCCGCCTCAGCCCGGCTCCGATCCTTACACCGCCGGCCGGAGGCCAAGCCGGAGCCGGAACCCGAGCCCATGACAGAGCGCCCGCGAGCGCGGAGGAAACCGCCCGACTGGGCCAAGGAGGCTCGAGGAAAGGGGGTGGGCGCGCCCCGAGGGAGAGCGGCCTCGCCAGCCCGAGGCTCCGCAGCCTGGGCCGCTCGCCGCCCGCCCACCCGCCGGTTCCCCCAGGGCGGGCCCGGCCGGCGGGGTCGGGGCGAGGGGCCCGCGAGCGCGGGGCCAGGCGGCGGCTCGCAGGTAGCGGGCAGGGGCAGCCGGGCGCCCGGCGGGCTGGCGCGAGGGGGCGGCCACGGAGCCCCAGCCCGAGACCTGGCGCAGAGCAACAGGAGGCGGCGCAGGCCGCGGCGGGTCCGGCAGCGGAGCGGGCCCTGGAGCGGCTCGGCTTCGGGTTGGGCGGCCAGGGGCGGCCCGTCGGCTACTTACCGGGAGGAAGGAGAGACTCCAGGCCGGACCGCGGAGATGCCGCAAACTGGCATGGCCGCCATCTTGGAGACAGTGAGCTCTGGCCGGGGGGAGGGGAGCCGAGGGGAGGTGGAGACCCGGCAGCGCGGGAGGGGAGAGGCCGAGAGCGGGAAGAGCTGGGCGGAGAGTCGGGAATGGCCGGAGGGCGGGGCGGGGCAGCAGGGAAGAGCCGGCCGGCGGGGTCACGTGGGGCGGGTACAAACGGCCAAAGCCAGGGTGGGAGGAGGACTGGAAGAGGTTGGAGGCCGGTCAGCCGGGGGCTTCTTTTCGGTCTTCTCACACGTTTAGGTCAGGCAGCGACCCGGGAGAAGTGGAGCCGGTGCATCTCTAATGCCACAGCTGGGGAAACTAAGGGCAGGCGCCTGGGTGGTGTGGCTTCAGTGTCGCACGAAAATCCGGCAGCCACGCAGTATGGGAACTCTTCGGCGGCGTCTGTTTACTTTTAGCAGCCCTCTCTCTCCTCTCTTTCACCTGCACCCGGACTTGTTTGGCGACGGTCCGGGAGCCCGAGGCCGAGGTGTGCCCGTGGGCGGGGCTGGGGGGCGGCGAGGAGGCGGCTTCCTGTTCTCACCCCTGGCAGCTCGCCTCAGCCTCTGACGGAGCTGTCCCGCTGGAGGGAAGACTTGGGGAGAGGGCGGAACCGGAGGCACCGGTGTTAAGCCCTTTAACCAGTGACTTCATTTCTTCCCTCCACCAACAGCTGAGTGGGTTCTTGGACCTCACTAGAGCCATTTTGTGGGAAACTCCACAGACCTGGGTCGTGTGACTTGAACAAGGTCACACAGCTAGTGTGTGGCGCTCACCTGAGCCTGGGACCGAGATTTGTCTTACTCTAAAGCCGGTCTTCGCTTCCTGACCTGTACGGAACTCCAGTCCGTACATAGGGGCAGAACCACAGGCAGGCACTTCTTCATGGCCTGCCTGTCCGCTACTGACTGCATGGATGTTTCTTTTTGTCTTGCCTTTCATCTGCTTTAAACTCTTGGATACAGAGATTGTCATACTTTTTTTTTTTTTTTTTTTAAGACGGTCTTCTGTCGCCCAGGCTGGAGTGCAGTGGTGCGATCTTGGCTCACTGCAACCTCTGCCTCCCAAGTTCAAGCAATTTTCCTGCCACAGCTTCCCAAGTAGCCGGGGTTACAGGCACGCTCAAGCACGCCTAGCTAATTTTTGTATTTTTAGGAGAGACAGGGTATCATCATGTTGGCCAGGCTGATCTCAACCTCCTGACCCCAGGTGATCATCTGCCTTGGCCTCCCAAAGTGGTAGGATTACAGGCGTGAGCTACCGCACTGAGCCCTTGATCCGTCTGTTCTTGAAGCAGTTGTCTTCCAGGGCCTGTTCCTTGTTACACATACCTGTTCCTCTGGATGATGTAGTACCAGTGAGCAACAGCAGGGCAGTGATTGGATCAGCCGACACCTGGTCCATGGAAGGCAGCTCAGCTTACCTGGTGCCCAATGGCTAGATGTTCAACTTCTACAAAAGCCCAGTGGCAAGGCGAGAGCTGTTTCTCAAAAAAAAAAAAAAAAAAAAAAAAAAAAAAATGCTGGCCGGGTGCAGTGGCTCAGCACTTTGGGAAGCTGAGGCAGGTGGATCAGGAGGGCAAGAGGTCGAGACCATCCTGGGCAACATGATGAACCCGCTCTCTACTAAAAATACAAAAATTAGCTGGGCATGGTGTTATGCACCTGGAGTCCCAGCTACTTGGGAGGCTGAGGCAGGAGAATTGCTTGTACCCAGGAGGCGGAGGTTGATGGCGCCATTGCACTCCAGCCTGGGTAACAAAAGCAAAACTCCCTCTCAAAAAAAAAAAAAAAAAAAAAAAAGAGCTGACCTGATTTAAGAAGCTAAGGCATTTCCTGTAAGCTTCCACATTACGTGGTACTGGAGTTCCACAGTGTGTCCTGATCTACCCCAGATGCACTGATGAAGCAAGGCTGGGGGTGGAGGTCGCTGGCAGCACATACCTGGTCTTTGTCCAGGCTTAGGTAGAGACACCAAACACAGCATGGTTTCAGCACACAAGGCTCTTCATGACCTGGCGCTGTCTGCCTCTAGACATTCGCCTCGTGCCCTCTGTCACATTCACCCTTCCTCTAACCATACAGAACTACTTGAGTACCTAAAAATGGATTGTAGAGGATCATTGAAATTCCTCGAGGAAAAAATTGTTTTAAAGTAGTCTGCCCTTTTTTCTTCCCTGGTCGTCTCAGGATTGACCACCATCATGAATGACCCAGGAACTATCCACATTAGAAAGTTCATGACTAACCGACTGCTTCAGAGGAAATAAATGGTCATTGATGTCATTCACCCAGGAAGGCAACAGTACCTAAGACAGATATTCAGGGCTGGGTGTGGTGGCTCATGCCTATAATCCCAGTACTTTAGGAGGCTGAGGTGGCTGGATCACTTGAGATCAGGAATTCGAGACCAGCTTGACCAACATGGTGAAACCCCGTCTCTACTAAAGATACAAAAATTACATGGGTGTCTTGGCAGGCACCCATAATTCCAGCTGCTTTGGAGACTGAGGCATGAGAATCACTTGGACCTGGGAGGTGGTGGTTTCAGTGAGCCAAGATCGTACCATTGCACTCTGGCCTGGGCAACAGAGTAAGACCCTGTCTCAAACATATACACACATACGTACACCCCTATACACACTCACGTTAATAAATAAAACATTGCTAGTACCTTTAATGTTCTTCCTCCAGCCACATTTCCCTCATTTTCCCTTCCCCAACTTTCAGGTAATCATTATCCTGTGTTGATAATTTCTTGCTTTTCTTTAGTTTTCCATCTTAGTTTCTATTCCTAAATAATAGGTAGTTTATTTCTTTAAAATAACAAGTAAAAACCTAGTTCTGTAGAGAAGGGGCTACTGTTATGTGAGGGTCAGTGAATAAATCTAAGGCCCTACACCATAGTTCAAAAAAAGCCAAACCAGAATAGCCTTATCTACCAGATATGGGGTTAGAAAGGGGAGTTTGATTAACAACGTAAATCAGGTGATGGAGGCTCCATTTGGAGAAGAGTGACCTCTGCTTTTCTCTGTGCAGCCAGCTAGGGTCAAGGCCAGAGACCATGTACAGCCCAGAAAACTGTCCTTTTTAAGGCAAACAAGGAGAGTTGAGGAACTTGGCCCATGCAATGTGAAGAACCCTCTTTAATCTTCAGGTACCTGTGTCTTCCACTGTGTCACATGAGATCACAAAGACAGAATTGATACCTATTAGGCCGGGCATGGTGGCTCATACCTATAATCCCAGCTACTTGGGAGGCTCAGGCAGGAGAATCACCTGAGCCTGGATTGTGGAGGTTTCATTGAGCCCCGATCGTGCCACTGCACTTTAGCCTAGATGACAGAGTGAGACTCCATCTCAAAAAAAAAAAAACATAATACCTAGTTATCTCTTGTCAATTTGTTGTACAAGTTTTGTATTTATTTATTTATTTTTAAATAAGAGGGTAAACTCTTCAAAGTTGGACTCAGACTTTTTTTTTTTTGAGATGGAGTCTTGCTTTGTTGCCCAGACTGGAGTGCAGTGGCACAATCTCGGCTTACTGCAACCTCCGCCTCCTGGGTTCAAGTGATTCTCCTGCCTCAGCCTCCCAAGTAGCTGGAACTACAGGGGCATGCCACCATGCCTGGCTAATTTTTTGTATTTTTAGTAGAGACAGGGTTTCGCTGTGTTAGCCAGAATGGTCTCAAACGCCTGACCTCAAGTGATCTGCCCGCCTTGGCCTCCCAAAGTGCTGAGATTATAGGCATGAATCACCATGCCTGGCCAGACTCAGACTTTTTAAGGCCTTGCCCTGTCACTTAGACTGGACTGCAGTGGTGTGATCGTAGCTCACTACAGCTCACCCCTGGGCTCGGGATTCTCCTGCCACAGCCTCTGGAGTAGCTGCACAGATGTACACCACCACACCTAGCTAATTTTCAAAGTTTTAAAGAGACAGGGTCTTGCTATATTTCCCCGGCTGGTCTCAAACTCCTGGACTCAAGCAGTCCCTCCCACCTCAGCCTCACTAAGTGCAGGGAATACAGATGTGAGCCACCACACCTGGCCCCCATAGACTTATATTATAAAACCTTTCTATGTTGAAATGACTTCAACATGTGGGAAAGTTACAAGAATAATTTAGAGAATTTTTTGTGTATCTTTTATCTAGAGTTTTTTTTAAGTTTGTCTATTTGTCATAATTCTCTCTCTCTGTATACATACATATATATGTGTATGTATATTATATTCAGTTACATGTTTTATATTTCATGCACATATATACACATTTTGTGTAGCTGTATATTAATGTATAATAATTTGATGTAAACATATATATATTCCTTTTGTGTTGATTTTTACTCTCTCTGTGGTAGAGTAATTTGCACACATCATGCCTCTCACTTTAGAGTTTCTTCCTTATAACAAAGATATTGGTGAGGCACAATGTCTTACTCCTACAATCCCAACATTTTGGAGGCTGACGCAGGAGGATTGCTTGGGGCTTGGAGTTCAAGACAGCCTGGGCAACATAGCAGACCTCATCCCTACAAAAAAATAAAAAATAAAAATTAGCCAGGCGTGGTGGTGCACACCTACCTTCCCTAGCTACCTGGGAGGCTGAGATGGGAGGATCACTTGTTCCCAGGAGGTTGAATGATCTCCAGTGAGCACTGAACCAGGATCAAGCCACTGAACTCCAGCCTGGGTTAACAGAGTGAAACCCTGACTTAAAAAAAGAAAAAAAAAACCACAAAGGTATTTTCTTACCTAACCATAGTACAGTTATGAAGTTCAGGAAACTTAACATTAACACAATACTTCTTCTTCTGAGACAGCGTCTCACTCTGTTGCCCAGGCTGGAGTGCATTGGCGCAATCTCAGCTCACTGCAACCCCCACCTCCCGGATTCAAGCGATTCTCCTGCCTCAGCCTCCTGGGTAGCTGGGACTACAGGTGTGTACTACCACACCTGACTAGTTTTTGTATTTTTTTGAGACAGAGTTTCACTCTTATCACCAAGCCTGAAGTGCAATGGTACGATCTCGGCTCACCACAACCTCTGCCTCCTGGGTTCAAGCAATTCTCCTGCCTCAGCCTCCTGAGTAGCTGGGACTACAGGCATGTGCAACCATACCCAGCTAATTTTTGTATTTTTAGTAGAGACAGGGTTTCACCATGTCGACCAGGATGGTCTCCATCTCTTGACCTCGTGATCCACCCACCTCAGCCTTCCAAAGTGCTAGGATTATAGACATGAGCCACTGTGCCCTGCCAGTTTTTGTATTTTTTAATAGAGACGGAGTGTCAGTACATTGGCCAGGATGATCTCAATCTCTTGACCTCGTGATCCATTTGCCTCGGCCTGGTATGAGCCACCTTGCCCAGCAATACTTTAATCTTGTCTATAATCCACATTCTAATTTTGCTAATCGTCCCAAATATATCCTTTAAGACAATTTTCTCTCCAAGATCTAGTCCAGGATCACATGTGGCATGTCCCTAATCTGGCAAATTTCCCCAACTGTTGTTTGTCCTTCAGGATACTGGTGATTTTGAAGAATACAGACCATTTATGTTTCAGAAAAGTTTGCAATTTCTTTTCTGTTTCCTCACGTTAGATTCTAGTTATTCATTCCCAGACAGAATACTACAAAAGTGATATTACATCTTTCTTCGGGAATTATTTCTGGAGGTATGTGACTTCAACCTGCCCCTTATTGAAGTTATTTTTTTAAAAAACAACTTTCTGAGTTATAAGTCATATGCCATAACATTTACTCATTTAAAACCTACAACTCAATGCTTTTTGCTCCTCTTGTCTTTCTTTTCCTGCTAGTGTATGAATTTTGCATTTAAGGCTAGAATTAACCAATTCTCAATATGTATAAATACATTTTCTTTATATTAATCTGAGAGACCAGTCAAATGCAAGTAAGTAGGCTTGTCTAACCAACGAGTCAGATCCAACTAGATGTATTCAAAAGTCTGGACTTGAGTTATTTTCACCAATTCTGTTTCCAGTATTCTTGAGTTTTCTAAATCGTGGTTAAGATCAGTCATCCCAAGCATAACCTAGAAGTGTGCTATGAAGTATGACAAAGTTTGATTGCAACAGACTGACTCAGAAGAAACATGGCCCCTCTCCAAGGACCAGTTCAGCACCTTGTGGGTAGATTTCAGGTGTGTTCAAGAGCCCTTTGTCCAAAAATAGCTCTCTGTGTCTATCAGCATGTCCCCAAATATTTACATGTCCCACACTATTCTGATTTGGGACAAATCCTTGGAGCTTTGTTTTCTGGAAGGAGTGAGTGTTGCATTTGGGTTTGCCTAGTCCCTGCATGAGGAGGAAGGAGGAGGAGGGTGAGAAATGGATGGAGCCAGGAAGCAGGAAGGGGCCTGGGCAGGGGAGGGCTCCCAGGAGGCAGAGGTGAGGTGATGCCTGGGCCTGGAATAGGCACTTGGAGAGCACAGCTAGTGAGAGGAGGTTCTTTGTGTCTGGACAGGCAAAATGCCTGAGGTCGAAGTTGTCCACCTTCACTAAAGGAGGTTACCTGTTTTTACTTGTGTTTAGCTTTGAATAGACCACTTCTCATTTCTTAAACAGAAAGATGGATTGACAGATATTTGATATGTTTTATTCTATAAAATATGTCTATCCTGCAAGCTATTTAGTTCCAACACCACCACGTGGAATTAGAGAGCCGTGAGACTTCAGAATGGCCAGCCCCCATGTACCCAGGGTTCAAAGCAGCACCTCACAAGGAACCCACTCATTCATGCTTAGACCCCAGAAGGAAACAGTGAATTTGGTCTTTCCCTTTGTTAACCCATTCTTACCCAGGAAGGCCCCACTTGTGCAACAAAGCTTCAGTTCCCAATGAGAAGATTGCCTCTGCAAGGTTTTTTTGGTTGTCCGATTTAAATAAACCGAGAAGATAGAATCACATGGACGCTGAAGTCATCTGCAAAGGTAGCCTTGCCTTTTTCAAATCACACACATCAAACTCTGATGGCTTTTTTCACTCTCACGCCACGAAGCATGGGGTTCATGCAGCCGGCTGTGTTCATATCATCACTAGAACCGCGTCTGTGATTTTCCAGAGCATCATCCGTGGGCACTTTGGCCTGAGTTGCTTGAAGTCCAGCATGTTTTCGACCTCCCTGCATGAGGCCCTCACAGGAAGTCTTATGGCAGGTCCCCATTTGCATTACACGTGATGAAGGTGGGTGGTCTTCACTCTGCGGTGGCCGGCTGTGACTCACTCCCACACATGTGAGTGGGGTGGGGCCTGGGAGTGGCCACTGTGCTGTCCATGTTGGCTTCTCTTCTCAGCAGCCCTTCCAGCGGCTGTGGGTGTGATGGGGGTGCCTGCCTGCGGAAAAGTGTCCTCAGCTAGTCCTTCCTGAGCCACCAAAAAGGGACCCGGTAATGTGGGAGACGGAAAAGCTTGGCTGTCAGGCAGTTCTCTTTTCTAAAGAGCGACTTTTGAAGGACACAATTCGCCCTGTGCTTGGGCATCTCTAGTATTTTGCGGAGTCCCCATGTTCAGGAGATGGTTCATCTGGTTCCCTCACAAGGAAAGCTGTTCCTGGGTTCTCACAAGGATACATCCATCAAGGAAAACATGTCACTGTCCTTAAACACTCTGGTCACCTGCACCCAGGTTGGGGCTGATTCTTCCAGTGGCCGTCAGCTGGTCGGCCCCCAGTCCAGGGCAGGCCCCGCAGGCAGGCTGGGAGAAGCAATAGCTTGGAATGAGTGTGGCTCAGGGCTTCCCTTCCTTGCCTGTCTGGGGGAAAAATCACAAATGTGCTGCTAAGGTTGGCGTTAGAAACTAAAAATAAGGAGTGGCATGCTTTTTCCATCTAACCTTCCCTACAAGTTCTGCAGATTCTTTGGACACTTGCCTGTTAAGCAGTCCTTGGTCTGATGTTGGCTCTTTCTGTGCTCACATGGTTTTTTTTAAAAGCAGTGAGGATGAATATCTTCTTATAACCTTTTAGTTGTAGAAGAGTGTCAGCACTTTTCTGACATCTCAACTCATTACAGTACACCCGAGTGTGGGATGTAATTCTGTGTGTGCACATATGTATGTACGGACGGATAGATTATTTCTCTACATGTACACAAATCTGCAAGATTTCTTGAGACAGGTTGAAGTGTGTTACTGAACAGGATCTGGACGTTGGCGCGGTTCTGTTTTTGAGCTCTTGGCATGGGATCAAAAGATAGAATTTGTTAATAAGATGACTTGGGCGTGTCTCTCCAGTTCTCAGAGCTTTGGTGTCCTCTTCTCAAAAGTGGGCATCATATATCTCACAGGATTGTCTTTCTGATTGAAAACGACATAGAAAACTAAGAATACTAGACTTAAGGCTAACGCTTTCTCTTTCTCTTTTAGCCTCTGAAGAGCTGATCATTCAGGATGGGAAACCATGCAGGCAAATGAGAATTAAACACCGAGAAGACCAATACGCTAAGACATGAGCTGATCCTAAAAATTCGCATGTCGTTTTGTTATTAAACACAAATTTCCTTGGTGAGTCAGAGGCTAAGGGCATGGGCTCTTGCTGCTGCCCTCTTCCCTGACAGCTGGGTGGAAGCCTGGTCCTTGTTAATAGGATTCATTGTTACTAATTTATTGAGGAAGATTGTGTGGCTATAGGTAGGTCCTGACCTTGCAAAGAAATAAAGGAATGAAGAAAGGGAAGGAGTTAGGAAGGAGAAAGAAAGGGAGGACAAAAGACAGATAAGGAGAAAGAGGGAAACAAGGAGGAAAGGCAGACGAAGCAGGTTGTGCTCTGGGTCCATGCTGTGTGATTGGTTCTAGAAGGCTTAGGAGGTTCTCAGAGAGGAAAGAGACTGTAAAAATCCCTTTGTTCTCATGCAAAAATACTTTTGATTTTTTAACATTTTTCTTTTTTAGATAAAGATATTTCCAAACTGCATTCTATCTAATTAGCTGCTGGTTTGAAAGAGCATAGACATTTATACCAGTTCATGAACGGTGAAACACATCAGATTTTCTTTTAGCTCAAAAACCTAACTTCATCTACTAAGGTCCCACTCCTTTCTTCTCATGGAGTGTGCCTCTGACTCCTCTTCACCATGGAGTGTGCCTCTGACTTTTCCCTCTGGTCTGGTTCTGGAAGAACTCACTCTGAATCCCAGAGGTCTGGACAAAGGATAGGAGATACTCAGGCTGTTCCCTTGGACCTCCCCTAAATCCGTAACTTGCTTTCTCCTGAGTGCAGTTGCTTGGCTCCTCACCGGCTGTCCTTCCTCTGGGGTCATGCTCTGGCCTGACTGCACATTGGAATCTCCCAGAGAGTTTTCAGATCTGCTAGAGTCTGCCCACCTTAGATCCTGATGCAGGCGTGGGCATTTTCCAAAGCTCTCCAGGCCTGAAAGCCAAAGTTCCAGGTTCCTCCCGTTCCCGTGTGTCTTGTATTTTGGCTGCCAGGATTTCCCTCTATCGGTTGGATCGTCACCCTCCTGCTCCCAGAACTTCCAGGAAGTCCTTAGCGCAGACTACATTCCAAGGTTCTCAGCCTCTGGCTCCAGCCCTTCTTCACCCTCACTGTGACTGGCCCTTCCAGTGGCAGCTCCTGCACAGCCCATTGCTAACCCTTACCATAAAACATTTGGAAAATGCAGTTCATCAAACAGGAAACTGCAAATTAAAAATCATTCAAATCCTTCTGGCTACTTAGAATTCATCTCTTTGTATTTCTAGCATGGCATTCACCATTGTCCGCCTTATTTGAAGGCACTGGCTTCTTTTGACTGATTTGGATTCTCTGCATTGCCATCGATTCCTCTGTAGTGTCCTGAGTCAGGGTTCTGGACCCTTTTCCCACTGAGATGCTCAGGACAGATGATCCAAGGATGTTGACAAGGACACAGATGCTGAGGGGTCCTCGCCGTCTGTCTTTCTGCCCACCCTTCTCTCTAGACCAGGCTTATTCTGATGATAAGGAACAAGCCTGCCATTGTGCACAAAAGTAAACCCACCCTAATTTGTATGGGGGGCTCTTGGTCCATGCTGTGTGGTTGGTCCTAAAGGTATCAGGAAGTTCTCGGAGAGGAAAGAGAAGATACAATTCCTTTGCTCTGATGCAAAAATACTTTTCATTTTTCAACATTTTTTATATTTTAAACATGTATAATTTTCCCTCGAGGGAAATTATTTCATTTCCTTGTTACTTTAATTCAACATAAAATTATGCATGCTCCAACCTGAGGGAGATGGTGGTGTATTAGAATGTCTGGCTGCTGAAGATGGGCTAGCGTTAGGGTCAGGGTAACCCCCGTCTTACACCCAGAATGCTTTAGAAATGTCCATGGAATTGAACTGAATTGAATGTCAGTCTTCCAACCTCTTACCGTGGTCCGTACTGCGTTTTTATTTAATAATAATAATAAACTTGGAAGAAACGGGACCTTCTCTGATTTGTACTTGGACTCAGTCTCTGTATCAGCCACATGGGTAATTTTCCATGATTTGCTTTCAAATCGTCTGTGAAAGGTGAACAGGTGACTACATACTGTTCCTGTTTACATTTTATCTCAAAGTGATAAGCAGTCGTTTCTTCCTAATGATTTAGAAAGACCAATTTTATAAATATGTAAATGGTTCTAGTCAATGTTGAAGGGGGGTCACTCATTTTATTCAGCCCATACTTAAACTATAATACTGGTAATGTCATTTTATAATTAACACTACCATTTAACATAAATGTATTAAGTTACTAATCTATTAAGAGCATGGCTTGGATACAGTATCCACACCAGGAGGACTGTTTCAGCTAAAAATGAAAGTGGAAAAAACAGCTCTGCTCAGAGGTCTCCAGGCTGCTAACACTGATGGTATTTTAAGTCTTAGAATACCTGATTTGCAACTCGAGTTTCTATAAAACTCTGTGTGGCTTTCAGTTTCGTTCCTGGTGTTTGATGCTGTAAAACACCCACATGTATTTTCCATTCGTTTAATGTTGTCAGAGTCAGATTCTTGAGCCCTACCAAAGCCCACACTTAGGATTTTGTTTTCTGAAATCTCATGGTTAAAGTTCCGATTATTTAAAAACCTCAAAAATGGGAAATTTTAAAACTATGGTTCCTGTAGGTAGTTTAAGAAGAGCTTTTATTTTCTTTAAACTTGATGGGAAACATTTTTGTGCCTTTCCAAGTACGTGCTCTGCGATGCTGCATGACTTAGTGGAGCGTTTAAACTTAAACCACTAAAGAAAAAGTGCCACCTGCCACTCTGTACATTTCTGTGTGTGATTCTGGGGGCATTTATTTTTCCCCTTAGGAGAAAGTCAAGGAAAGCTTCTGTCAGTTTCAGGGGCTGGTGACTGATCTGCCAGCAGGGAAGGCAGCTGCAGTGGGGTCTGCCCCGTCCACCCTACACATGCCCTCTGCAGAGCCGCCCCTCTGCCTGACCCAGGCTGCTCAGGGCCCCCTCCCTCCTGGCCTACTGCCATCTTCTCCCCCGTCCCCACCCACACTCCTTCCTCTGCCTAGAGCCTAGGCCCAGTGCTCTGATACGGGTCGTAGTGATTTGCTTATCATACGGCTAATTCCCCTCCAACATCCAGGAGGGAACTTTCCTCTCTCTTTTGCCTCCATCTCAGCCTGGAGCAGCCCCAGCACTTAACTGGCTCACAGATGTTTCAAAGAGTAAATGAATCATACCTATTTCCTAACTTCCTTTTCACATAAAAGCTGTTTCCTGAGCAGGCTCTGGGTGCTGCTGGCTGCTGGGGAGGTGGTGGCGAGGTCTGGTCTCTTGCCTGCGGGAGCTTCCAATGTCCTTTGCAAGTTTTGCCCTCAGTGACTCAGGGCCTTGAAATCTGCTGCTCTCTCATCCTGAATAAGCCACATCAGGATATAAGAGGAAGAGGGACTAACTAAAGGGGTAACTGTGGAATTTCTCTGAGTTGCAGTGTTAGTCCAGTCATGTGGGGCACAATTCCCAGGTGACCAGTGGTTGAGGTACCTTCCTGGGCCAGTTGAGGGTCAGAACATTCAGAACAGGGAGAAACACGCATCAGAGGGGCGAGGAGGCTGCACCCCTCACGTGCAACTCACTCGTGTGGATGGAGCATAACTTCCTCCAGGCAGGCACAGGTTTGGTGCAGGGCTCTCCTTCTCAGAAATGAAGAAATCCCTGTTCTGCCTTTCACCCCCCATGTCTTTTAAAGTTGCAGGGAAATTTGGTTTCCGAATGGCCCTGCCTCACTATTTTACCAGCTTTTAATCAATCTGCCCATTTTGTATTTGGTTCTCTGTCTTGCTACAGAACTTGGCAGAACCCAAGAAGGAAAGGGTGCCAGCTGCCCTGGAGAACCCAGGGATGTGCCTCAGCACCAGGAGGGGACAGGGGCGAGACCCACCCACAGAGGGACACCCTGTCTCAGACAGTCTGCCCGTCCTTAGGATAGAAGACATTTGGCTTCACTAGCCACCGGAGGAACTTACACCTTTTGGCAGTGTGAATCAAGGGGGTTGGGTGATTGCCTTTGGAGGATCAACAAGTGCTCTGAACACTGCCTGCGTCCTTAGCCAGGCTGCTTGCGGCTTTCCCCACTCAGCTTTCTCTGGATTCTGTGGATCTGATGACCTGTGGGCTTGGTCTTTGAGGTTTTCTGGTGATAGCTAAGCTTCCTGGGGATGATTCACTACGTGTTAAAAACACCAAACAAGGCTGGGTGTGGTGGCCCACGCCTGGAATCCCAGCACTGTGGGAGGCTGAAGCAGGTGGATCGCTCAAGCCCAGGAGTTCGAGACCAGCCTGGACAACAAAGAGAGACCGTATTTCTACAAAAAAATCAAAAAATTAGCCAGGCATGGTGGTGTGTGCCTACAGCCTCAGCTTACTCAGGAGGCTGAGGTGGGAGGATCACCTGAGCCTGGAGGAGTCGAGGCTACAGTGAGTCATGATCACACCACTGCACTGCAACTTGGGCAACAAAATGAAACTCTGTATCAAAAAAACAGAAGCAACACACACACACACACACACACACACACACACACACACACATCTATCAAGGCCAGTGCTAACACTGTATGAGTGCCTCTGTGAGCCAGGGACTTTGCAGATGTTGTCTGCATTGTGTGTTGCACCAGTTCTTGGGGCTGCCACAACAAACAGCACAGACTGGGTAGCTTCCACCGCAGATGTGGCTTCCACCACAGTCCTGAAGACTGGAAATGCCACATCGAGGTGCCAAGGGCTGGTTCCCTCTGCGGCCTCTCCTTGGCTTTTAGGCAGCATCCCCTCTCTACGTCCCCCAGTGGCCATCCCTCTGTGTGTGTCTGTGTCCTCATCTCTACTTAGAAGGACACCCTTATGCTGGATCAGGGCCACCCTACTCCAGCGGGACCTCATCTTCATGTCATGACCTCTTCAAAGGCACCATCTTCAAGTGCAGTCACGTGGTGAGGCAGTGAGGGCGGGGACATCAGCATGTGGATTTGGGAGGAGCATGGTTAAGCTTATCACATGTGTTACTTGATACACCTGAGCAGCGGCTGCACAATTCGATAGAGTAGAGAAGGAGAGCACTGGGATTGGCGTTTGCTGCATGTCTGACACCTCCTGGGGAAGGGACTCCATGCCAGCAACCACATGCTCTCTCTGCCCTGTCCTCACAGACAGCAGAGCTGGTTTCTCTTCTCCCGTGCAAGCTTCCTTCTTCCTGCCTCCTGCCTCGGGCCCCTCCCGGGCAGGCGGGCACCTGCAGAGTGCTCGTCTCCCCGTGCTACTCATGGCTTTGCGCAGTCCTCCCCATACTTAGGATCCTCCAAGGATCATCTTCATTCGCCCAGGGACTGAGACTCAGAGCTGGGCTGGGCCTGCCCTATGCCAGGTAGCAAATGGAGGGGAAGCCAGAGAACAAAGCCAGGCCTGGAGCCCCAGGTCACACAGCCACACAGAAACAATGCCCGCATGGGAGTGTATGTCTTCTAGTGGACACAGAACATGTAGGAAGAGACAGGTGAAATCATTTTAATGTCATGTCTTTAACCTAAGAAACCCCAAATGTCATGTAAGCATAGAATCCATATAAAAATTGTTCATGAAATGGTTTATAATTCTTCTTCTCTCATGAAGTCCTCACACTCTGAGATATATTTTAACTCATGGTGCAGTGTGGCCTGGCCACGTCTCAGGTGTTGGGTGGACACACGTGTCTGGGACCCCAGGTCTGGGCTGCAAAGCTCCACCCCTGGCTGTGCCCACACACCCTGCCATCTAGCTGGGCAGAACATGCTGAGACCTTCCCCCGGAATAGTGTACATCACCCAGTTCACTATCCCCTTTGTGCATGGTACCCATTGGTTGATAAACAATTTCTAAAGAAGACAGAAAAAAACATAAATTACCAATATTTTTCCCTGAGAGATACTTACAGGTCCAGTTTTTCACACACTCCACCTCCCCTTGTATGAAATGAGTTGGGATTGATAAAGATGAGGAGGAGGGGAAGAGGGTGTCGGGGAGGAGGGAGTGGAGGGGAGAGAAGAGGAGAAGAGGGAGGGGAAAGGAGGGGCAGAAGGAAGAGGAGGAGGGAAAAGGAAGAGGGTGAAGGAAGAAGGGGAGGAAGAAGAGAGGGGAGGAAGAGGAGAGGGAGGAGCAGGGGAATGGGCCTGGCCAGTAAACGCAGTCCTAAGGGCTGCCATGGATAAAAATGCATTACGGAGGAGGAGCCAGGAATGGCCTGTTTATATCTGCCCAGACTCAGGGGCAGTTTCCGGCCAGTGCGAGTGATGTTTGCCAAAGTGCGCCCAGTCCCAGGTTCCGCTCTGCCCTGCCTTGGCGGTGCCTCAGAGCCCTCCAAGCCCGTATGACAACGCAGAGGGACCTCAGCCCAGGTTCTGAACCAAGAGCCATGGCTGAGCCCTGTAGGTGTCATGATATTTATCAAGTTGTCTTGCCCAGAATTTTCTCTAACGGCAGACAGCCTGTTTCTAATTCATGAGTGGATCGGTTATGCTCTTTACCAGTGCAGGAAAATTAGCTGTTTAGGACTGAAAGGAATGTTTTAAATGTTGGTTTCTTAATTCTTGCATTCATCCATCCCTACACATACACACTATAAATGCTTTTTATTAAATGCCTGCTCTGCACAGGACAGTGTGATAAACTTTGTGAATGAAAACTTTGGCTTCACCACCAGCTAGTTAGGTGATCTTGGGCAAGTTATTTTCTCTGTGCTTCCTTAAGATGATACATGGTAGGATGATAACACCATTTAAAGTGAGTCCACGTGTGTGGTGCCCTTAGAACAGCCCCTTGTACAGAGCAAGTGGTATGTGTTGTTTGCTGTTACTAATTTTCTTCTTATTGCTATTTTTGTGAAAGAAAAGCAAGTCCCTGTGTCTGTCCTCAGAATAGCTCACAGTCTAATCAGGAGACCAACAAAATTATGAAACCACGTTCAGAGCAGTGATGGGTATGCAGGATGGAAGCCGGGCTCCCTGGGGCTGTGGGGCCCACAGGCCAGCAGGAGAAGCTTCGGGGAGAGCTTGCATCAGAGGGAGAGACGGGGGTGTCCTTCCCCATTTCCCAGGGTTGAGACAAGAATAAGCAAATCTTTAAATACTGTATTTAAAAAAAAAATATTTGATGTGGGGCACCTGCTGCAAACCTCTCCCACTCAGGATCATCAAGTTGGTAGGGTCTGGGTATCCCCCAACACCGGCTCCACCCAGTCCAGCTTTACCCCAGAAGAGCTCTGCCTTCCAAAATGCCTGGCTCTGCAGACCCATCCAAATGCAACTCACAGAGCAATTGCTGGGAGACAGCCACCTCTGTGATGAATCCACGTCACCATCCGAGTGGCTGCCAGCTCTTTACGCATCCCATCAAGATCTCAATTTCTGAGAGGATGCCCGCTGGGCGAGGCTGCAATTTAACACAGGTTGGAATCGTCTCAGGCTGTGTAGAGGACATCTGGCTCTGCAGATAGCCCTGGCTGAGACTCTGTCTCCAGAGGGTAGCTGCACTCCCGGTGAATCCTGGAAGCGCTAAGCTCCCTGCTTCCCTAGGGCATCGCCCAGAGCAGCACTGTCCTGTATAAAATAGTGTCAGTGGCATCTTTTGTTACGTAGAAGAGATGGAGTCCTCCCTCCCAGGTGACTGGTAGCTGAGAGGTAGGGAGACCATCAGGAGAGCCAAGCAGGGAGAAGGTCCCAGGAGGAGAAAGTTGTCCACAACAGGAAGAGTTAGCAGAGGGGTCCCCTCTGCCCGGCCCCTCCAGACCCCATCTTCACAGGGCAGAGAGCTGGGGTCCCAGCATCAGTGAGCCATGACCTTTGGGAATTCACCTGAACAATTACCCCAAGTATCTGGGGGATCCCCTGCCCTGAGCTGGCCCACAGTGGGGCTCACTCATGTTACGCAGTTGGAGGATGTCAGTGAAAGTTCTGAAATAGGCCTGGTCTCTGGGGACCCTGTACTCTTCCCCAGTGGTCTCTGCTCCCCCACTTCCCACCAACCCAAAGGAGTGGGGTTTGTAGTAGCCCTGAGTTATTTGTCAACATTTGAATTCTTTCACTTTGGTTTTGTGAACACTGTCTCAGTTCACAGGGGAATGAACTTGAAGAAGAGAGGTCTAAAAAACCTTATTATTTCTTTTTCTCATGTGAAACTCACCAGGCTTGCTAATTAGAAACAATAAACCCGGAACCTTAAAAAATGAAGACAACCTGTAGTTTATCTTCACACACTTTTACATTGCCCAAAATGGGTGAAATCAATTGGTAAACTCCTAAAACATTCCAAAACCTTACAAGCAATAATAACTAAAAACCTGCTTTCATCTGTGGGTGGGCTAAGAAAAGGGAGCCTCTGGGCTTTCCCTGGTAATAATATCTGGCTCAAAAAGGTTCTACAAAGATGCCTAGCCATGTTTCTGGATTTCTCTATTTAATCAGCTTAAGAAAAAAGATACCACACTTAAAAATAAGATCTGAGAGCTGGCAAAATCCTGTCTAAATTTTACAGTGGAGAGTAACTGATTGGTCTGTCTGGTGTTCCAGATTAAACTGATCTTTTTATTTCAGCTGCACATCAAATCCAAGTACAAGCAGGAGCAGTGAGGCACACACTCTGTGCCTCTCCAGGGATCATCACGCCCCCTGCAGAATCTGCTCTGTGTTTAATTATCATCCAAACCCAACTCTTTCTTGATGACGTTCTCCAGATACTATTAAAATGACATTCTGAGAAAAGAGACATTTAGTTTGCAAATATACACAAAGGCATTGAAGCAATTCAG